GAGCCCAAAAGACCTTGTCAAAGTTCTTCTGCTTCTTGTCCAGAGCAGCGCAGGCAGCATTGGATCGCTCCACATCAATCATCAGGTCCTCCACTTCATTCTGCAGCCTCTGCTTTGTCTTTTCCAGGGAGGCACACTTGGCATTGACAGCTTCGACGTGTTCCTCTGCATCCTGCAGGCGCTGTGCCAGCTTCTTCCTGGGAGGAGATAAGCACAGTGGCAGCTTAGAGCTTAGAAGGGAGTCAGTTCTGCACTGCCATGAGAGGGCAGTTGGCCACTTGGGGGGTTTGAGCTGAGCACTTTGCACAGATCCTAAAGGATCTATCTTTTCTGTGTCCAAGCACCTATGAAGGATTTAGCCCTGTCTTAGCACTTCTAGCCCTAAAGCCTATGCTTTCCCTTCCAATATACACTTTTTTTCTCCTCCCTGCCCTCCCTTCCCTTCACCACAAAGACAGTATATCCCTGCCTTCATCCCAGCCCTGTCTCAGCCCACTCAGAGACTCCCATTTCCCTTGACCGCTCTCAGTCTTCTGCAGTCATTTCTCATCCCACTCCCCACGTACTTGGCCTCCTCGAGCTCCTCCGTGCGCTGAATCGCGTCCGTCTCGTATTTGGTTCTCCACTGGGCCACTTCGCTGTTGGCCTTGGACAGGGCGCGCTGCAGCTCCCCCTTGGCTTCCTGCTCCTCCTCATATTGTTCCCGGAGCAAGTCACAGTCGTGGCGAGCGGACTGCAGGGCGTGGGCCAGGGCGTTCTTGGCCTTGGGAGACAATTGGATGGGGACAATTAATTTCCTGTGAGACAGCAGAATGTTAACTTCACGAAAGTGGTTGAAGAGTCTTTCCATCTGACATTTAAAGTCAACCCAAGGGAAAATGGCATATTGATTTCACATTTAGAGAACTTTCTTATCTCTTCATTCATTCTAATGTAGAAAGTATTCTCAGGAGAGATGATGGATAAATTCTAAATGACAACTGTTAAATCAGGAAATTGTTGAATTCCTTTAAATATACTCTAAATTTTCAGCTTAGAAAAGTAGACTAAGACGCACAATTTATTTTTAGATATATCTCAATCATTTTTATATGCCATTATAAATCTGAATAAAGTCCTAAAAATGTTTTTCTCTGTCTTAGTATTCAAATTGGAGAGGATGTCTTCCTCAATTTCCCTTCCCACACTAGAGATGAAGGTGGCAAAATTGTCCATCTTGTTTGATAGCTCAAAAATTAAACTGATATGGCAAACATTCTGATTTTATGTGATAGTAGGAAATATCCTGAAAGAAAACAGAACCTCAGTCTAAAGTCAACCCCCTTACTGGAAGTACATTTACCTTTATTTCTTCCTCTAAATGTCTCTTTAGTTCCTCAATCTGTTGAGTGAATGCCTGTTTGCCTCTGGATAGCTGAGATATCAAACCATCTTTTTCTTCCACTTGGTGTGAATATTCACCTAAGAAAGTTTACAGACAGACTGCAATTTAAAATCAATACTAAGTCAATGTGTCTTTTAAGCACTGTATAACAGATCACAGAGACTAGATCAATTTGAGCAAAGCTTCATTCCTCTTTTTGTTATCATTAATTACAGGTTGTCCCATTCCAGAGGCATGTGGGGGTATGTTACCTGCTTCTGTCTGCAGACGAGCTCTTTGAGCATTGAGGTCATTGATCATGCGCTGATGCTCTTCTTCCTTTGTCTTAATCTCACTCAGCTGGTCTTCCAGGGTGCGGCACATCTTCTCCAGATTTGCCTGTGGAGGTCACAGAGAATGAAAGAAGATTAGGATCT